TCCAGTCTGAGCGGTCACATCGCCAAGCTCATGCAGAGTGGCTGCAATTCCTGGGTGGTCAATATCACCTTGCAAAGACCGCTGCATTCGCAAAGATTCCTTCAGATGCTCAATGGCTTCTGCCTGGTGACCTAGATTCCTTTTCACCTGACCAAGTCTGCCCAAGATGATGGCCAGTTCCTGGCTGTCCCCGGGCTGCCGAGCTCTTGCCTCAAGCAACTGGTGCTCAAGCTCTTGCAGTTCCGCCAAGTCAGCTCCACCGGGCATCGACTCCGGCAGCGCCGAGTCTTCTGGACCCGGACCCCCTGTGTCCTCTGTGATGGTCCCTGGGAACTGTGGCGGCTGAGAGGGCCGAGTTCTGCTCTGAGTGTTTTCTGTCACGGAATAAGCGGATTCTGTCTCAGAAGGAGGATTCATGGGCGGGTGCAGCACAATGGAAGAAGAATGTAGACCTGAAAGGCAGCTGGCAGCACCATGCCAAAGAAAGTAGTAACAAGTTGCTATAGTGTCCCCCCAAGGTATGTTAGAAACACGAATGGGACAACAAAAATCACAGATTCTGTTATGGAAGGAGGATGCATGGGCGGTGGATGAAGGATGATAGATGAAGAATGTAGACCTGAAGGCCAGCTGCAAAACCCACAGAAGGAAGAATGGACAACACATATTTGATGAGATAAATACAATGGGAACACAAAATGTGTTTGCAAAATATTGCCCAACTGCCTGAACCAAGTCTTGGTGCTAAGATCGGACGCAGCAGCTCCTCCACTTGCCGAGTGGCATGGATGAAGCTACAAGCAGCTTCCACATGACTAGTGCGTGCATTTCGAGTACCGCCATGACTAGTGCGTGCATTTCGAGTACCGCCATGACTAGTGCGTGCATTTCGAGTACCGCCGCGAGCTTCCAACTCTGCTCTGGCAACGATCTCGGCCAAAATCTGATGCGGGACATCTCCATTCACGACTTCCGTGTCCGGGCACTTGTCTCGAGTGACTTCCAGGAGCTCCAGAAGGCCTTTGGCTTTCTCCCGAACCCAACTCATCAAATCCCACAACTGCTCTGAAGCCTGCGCCTCCTCCTCGTCCTCTTCCAGCAGTTCTTCCGGAAGTCGGTCCAAGACATCCCCAGCTCTGTGGGCGATCGCCACGAAAGTCGCTTGGATTTCACGGTATCTTTGCCGGAGCAGCTGATCGCAGGTCTGATGGTTGGACCTGGCAGGGCGAAGAAAAATGCGTGACCTCTACAATCGCCCCGCAATTGAAAAAGTTCGGTGACTATACTCTAACATATGTGGGAATCATTGATATTTTGTATATAGACCTCCAAAATGCACGATAGTAGAGAAACTGTCTTCTTGCAAACCTCAACAAATTCCGAACTTTGCAACCACCTTGCCGTCCACAACTAACCGCATTGAAAGGAGTGTGTAGATTGGGCCACGCATGCGACGGAAAGCAACCACCCCTTGACTTGAAACCACGTTTAGGCATATCTACCAGTGAAGCAAACTTCCTCAACAAGCAAACCAATGGTGAACCAAGTGAACCACTCTAGGCGTCATCTGAATACTGCTCTGAGGAAACACACCCGACAAATCTACCAGTGAAGCAAATGTCCTTCATAAGCAAAGCAACAATGGTGAAGTATAGGTGAATCACTTGTAGGCATCATCTGAATGTATATATTGCTTCGAACGAAAATCCACCCGACACCCCGCCTGCAAACCTTGCGGAGCTGACTCAACTCCTGAAGGGCCACGAAGGAAGGCCACTGCACTTCGCTTGGAAGATCAGTGGACGAGGTCGCCATGGCACCAAACAAGGTTGCGCTGGTTGAAGAGATATCAAAGTGGCAAGGGCCATGGTAGGCTGCTTGAACAAATGTTCAGAAATTTTGATGACCCTGCGGGCCTGTGTGTTTGTCTTCAGGTCAAAGTCTGATGAACATTGTCACTATGTCTATGACTATATCCCTCAAGTGACTTCTCAAAGAGACTCGCATGAGGCCACGAAAGCAGTGTGGCTGAGAGCAACAAAAAAGCAATCTGCGCTTCTTTGCAAGGTGTGGTTCAATATCTTCTCTGAAACTCAACTTCATCCACATCACCACGTGTCTGCCTGCATCCACAAGCAACACCCATCCACAAGTCATCCAAGAAACCGTTTCTCTGCAAAAAACGCCAACCTTCCGCACATGGTTTCGAAAAAACGGTGAACTTCTCTGAGTTCCACTACAGATGCTCTGCACACTTCGACTTCGGCCAAGGGCCTCCACGTGCCATCCAAAATGAAGTCGTGCGGCCGGTCTGTGAGTGGTGCGGCTCAAAGGGACTTCTCGCTCGGGTCTGGAAGAGGGGACTTTGGAAGCGCCAAAGGAAATGCTACTTGAGGCCAGGATACCCACAATAAAAACTCCTCAAGGTCCAGAGTTTGGGAAGAATTGGGAAGCTGAAAGTCGTGATTCGACGACGTGATGCGTCATCAACCCGGACTCAGGTTCATATTGCATGACAGTGCTTCATGGAGCCAGTGGAAGTGTTAGGCCCTTCTTAAGTTCACAAGTACTTCGATCACCAGGTGCTTAAAGCCTGATCAGACGTGGATGGGGACCCCAAGACTCTATAGGAACCAACAAGTCGTAGACCAAGGACACCACATTTGTGTCCCTTGGCATGGGCCATGAAGTGAAACGATCTGCTGCCACTCCGATGACTAACAAGTATTGGTTGACACCAGATTATTTAACCATACTTAACCCAATCTGCAAGCATGCAAGTCATGCAAGCGCCACGTCGGAACCCACCATAACCCACCCACTCCGCCTTTTCCTTCACCCGGATCCACCAGTGCTCGGCCTGGGAAGTCCACCAACCCCGCAACGACGCTGGAGCGGCAGCGACCTGGCCAGGACGACATGGGACTCCCGTTGAAGGAGGATGTGACGCTATGCCTGATCCAAAGGCGCGCAGCCCGGTCCCATCTTCTCAGAAGGTACTTGGAGCCCTAGTGAACGGGGCCATAACGTGTTAATGCATCCTGTCTGTTATTTGTCTTCAGGTCAAGCTCTTTGTCCCTCTAGTGATGTCTCAAATAACTTGACTCAAAGCGGTCAGAGAGCCAAACAAAGTGTCTGTGGACAGAAACAACTGAAACAACTCGACACTTCTGCAGGTCAGGTGTGGTTCCCCCAACAAGTTCATCCACACTAAGCCACACACCAAAACAACATCCACAAGTCATGCGAAAAATATACAAAACTCCTCTGCAACAAATCAGCACATGCAAACTATCCGACATCATCGGACGCGTCCTCTTCCCCCAAAACGGGATGGAGCTCCGCCGGCTCCGCCGCCTATGGGCCATCCGGAATCCGGCGGATCTCTGGCCCCTCCTGGCGGAGAGTGGCGTGGCGTCCGGCGCGAAACGGAGAGTGATCTCCATCGTTTTTGTGGGGCGGCTGGAGTCGCTGAAAGGATTTGTAGATGCCAAAAGGATGAGAAGAACTGCAGGAAGCTGAAAGCAGTTGGCTTTCAGCGGCACGTCTTTCCCTCACCAAGGGGTCTCGAGTTCTATTCCAGGCTTGGACGAGTATCATGCAGCCGGTCGAAGCTTCGGAACTCTTCTGTCCCTCTATTGCAGTTGAGAGGACCTGCTGTCAGGCCATTCCCCCAACAAAAAACAATGTGTTGAATCAAGCGTCTCTACATGTGGTGTTCTTGACACCTCTTCAATGTTCAACCTGCGCCATGCTTTCTACATGTCCTACCCTGTGTTCCTTGCCCACGCCCACAGACCCCAGCCGACTCCCCCTTCTCCTTCGCCCGGGGTCTTTACCGGCACGGCCTGGGCCACGACCCGGAACGGGCGACGACCATGTCCGGTGTTTCGGCCGTCACCGGGCGAATGGACAGTGACTGCTCCAGCTGGTAGCTGGAAGGAGAAGGGTTCCGGCTATCATGGGGTCATGAGGATTCTGTTCCTAAATTTCTAGATCTCGCCGTTTATTTACATTCCCTTTCATGCAAAAGCCAATGAGGCTGTTGACCTTGATGTTCAAAAGGTTTGACATGGTTTGACTAATGCAGCCGCAACTGAGAGGCTGCAGTGTCAATGATGCGTCGCGTTCTTTCTTTGGACTCCAACGGAATCAAAAAAGGCACTGAAAGGAACGCCCCACGCTTTTTAGCATCACAGGATGCTTTCGGGCAACTCTGTATTAAGCAGTCCCCCCGCTTGGCGTTCATCTTTCTGGCGCCTTTCAGAATGAAGAAACTAGATAGAACATTCATTTCAGGAGAGACACAAACCATGAGGAGCACACCTTTCCATCTTAAGGGGACCACGATACAACCTACATCAACCTACCCACCTATCCACCTTTCGCAGTGCAATACCCCTTCCCCCCCGCCTCTCCAGTCGTCAGTTGTCTTTGACCCAAAGTTCCATCATAGCATCCTGGGCGATGGACATTAATCCAGCTCATCCAGCCACGAAGGAACGTGCTTGGAACTGATTGGAATGTTCCCGGGATATTTTGGTGCACTGATATCACTTCATGGGGAGCATGTGAATTCTGTATGTGAACTCACAGGTTCGGTTGCTTGTCCACTACGAAAAGCAAAGGCTTCAAGAGTCCTCATGTGACCACATAGGTCTAAGCCTTGGCCCAAAACCTTCGTTCTGAATAGCCCCCACAACCTGTGGCCTTCATAGCCTCTTGGAAGACCTTTGGATCCGCATCCTAAGACCTACAAGGAAAGGTCACCTATCCAATAAACTGGAAGCGGAATCACCACCAAGTAGCATATAATACTATGTACAAAATGTTATCCCCATCTTGAAAAAAGGAATTGAGAATCAAAAGGTTAACATATTGTTATCCTTCAAGGAATCAGTACTAACTCCATCTAACTCCTTATATACACGTACAACCCACCGACCGATCCACGTAGCACACAGCCACTTTGCTGTGCCGCTCAAAGCCCAGCGTCTCTCTGACCGTCACCTTTGGTCGTCAAGAGTTCGATCACCACCTCCTGCGCCGTGGACTCTCATGATGTGAGGTGGATGGATTGTTTTCCTTTCGGCCTTTTCTGAGTCGTTTTGGAATGCTCCTATAGTGACTTCAGTGCATACACCGCCACTTCAAACAAACAGTCTATTCAAGTGATTCAAGTGACCCTTTGTGGAGTCGACCCATCAAACCCCCAATTCCGCTTTTGCACCTCGCTCGGCACTCCATCTTCACCCACCTGGCGGACTCCGGCACCACGGCCCGAGGAGAGCTGACACGTCCGGTGTGCTCGCGGCATGGGACTGGAAAAAGGAAACTGGCCTGTTCAACTCTTCTCCTCTGGAGATTGTGGAAGCAAATATCATGTGCTTTTTTGTTGACATGTTTTTGAATACATACATTTGTTGTATTGGGCATGTACTGCTTGATACGTTTGATATGGGGTTGTGTTGGGCGTGCGCCTGCTGCTTCTTGTTTTCTTTCCCGGCATGGAGCACATATATTAACTCCCTCAAATCTCGGTCTCGACGTGATGGCACCAGCAGACTAATGCACCGCACAGACATGCGCAGAAGCTCCAAATAGTAAGCATGCTGCACTCCTGCTGCTAGCCATGGTGTCATCGACTCAACCACCATATGCTTGCAACTAAAATGATTCCACCCGCTCTTGCCGGCAATATCCTACCAGTAACAAATGCCACCATGAAGAAACTCATGAAGAAACAGAGTTGACCAAAGCTACTGAGACCGAGCCAGGACAGCTGCATTCGCAAGCCGTCTTTCAGGTACCACAGGCCCTCCTTCAGGTCTCCAGTCAGAGCGGTCACATGGCCAAGCCTGGCCAAAGTGGCTGCAATTTCTGGGTGGTCAATGTCACCGTGCAAGGACTGCATCATTCGCAAAGAGTCTTTCAGGTACCGCAGGGCCTCTTTCAGGTCTCCAGTCTTAGCGGTCACTCGGCCCAGCTCATGCAAAGTGACTGCAATTCGTGGGTGGTCACCGTCACCGTGCAAGGACCGCTCCATTCGCA